CCTAAACCCTTTTTTTTTTTTTTTTTTTTATTTTTTTTTTATTCTAGTACATCTGTGTAATGTGTGTATTTAAAAAACCCTTTTTTCTATTTTTTTTTTCTCTCTCTATCTTATTCCTTCTAGAATGTATCGTTCATAAGATTTCTAGGGTTTAGGGTTTAGGGTTTAGGGTTTAGGGTTTAGGGTTTGTGTGTATAGGAGCGTCCCCCCGAGGATTTTCACTTGTTAAAGAAAGAATTAGTTTCTTTGTTTTCTGCTGCTCTGCAGCAGCCCCACGATGCAGCAGCTCAGCTGCATGCAGCGTTGGGGGTTTTATATAATATAGATAGATTGTATGATAAAGCTTTACACCACTTCGCCGAGGCTCTCAAACACTCGTGAGGGTTTAGGGTTTAGGGTTTAGGGTTTAGGGTTTAGGGTTTGGTTGCGATATGAGGGTTTTAAGTATATACTGTAGGGCTTAACCCCCCCCCGCTCTCTGCTCTCTTCTCCTCCTTCTTCTGTGTTTCTCTGTTAGGGTTTACACATTGAGGGTTTAGGGTTTAGGGTTTAGGGTTTAGGGTTTAGGGTTTGTGTACAGAGAGGGGCATGAAGCCGCTTCTCTATGGAATAAGATAGGCGCAACCCTCGCAAACTCTGGCCGTTCTGCTGCTGCGTTGATAGCGTATAAACAAACCCTCAAACTAAAACCAAACTACCCCAGGGCTTGGGCTAATCTAGGGGTTGCGAAGGCTAATCTAGGTAAACCCTAAACCCTAAACCCTAAACCCTAAACCCTGATTTGAAACGGGGGTCTGGGAGAAATTTCGGCGAGAAAACGGATAGTCTAGCTACACTCTAAACCCTAAACCCTAAACCCTCAAACTAAAACCAAACTACCCCAGGGCCTGGGCTAATCTAAACCCTAAACCCTAAACCCTAATTTGTAGCGGAGGGGGGGAGGGAAATTTGGGGTTTGCAAGGGCTAATACACGTAAACCCTAAACCCTAAACCCTAAACCCTTTTGAGTTCTGAAAAGCACCCCAGCGTAGGGGCATGCATTGGGGTTTGTGCATCATTGATTTTGGTGGTTTAGTGAGGGTTTAGGGTTTAGGGTTTAGGGTTTAGGGTTTGGGTTCAGGGCAGATGGAGGAGGCGCTGCAGCACTACCTGGTCGCTCTTGAGCTAAACCCTGATGCCTCTCATTTGTGGCATTATATAAGAAGTGCTCTCATTAGCCTCAGTAACATAAACCCTAAACCCTAAACCCTAAACCCTAAACCCTAAACCCTAATTTATCTTTCATAGGGTCGTCAAACCCTAAACCCTAAATATCAGTGACGGCATTCTTCTTACCCTATCTAAACCCTTCATTTTAAACCCTAAACCCTAAACCCAAACTTTCTTTTTTGTACTCTTATGGGGAATCTAGGGTTTAGGGTTTAGGGTTTAGGGTTTAGGTGCTGCTGCAGATCGATACAGCTGGATTGTCTTCGCAGAGAACCGAGATATGGAGGGTTTACGGAGTGTGCTGCCGGTGAGTGAAACCCTAAACCCTAAACCCTAAACCCTA